TTTAAAACATTAAGGGGCTGTTTGTTTCAGCCTCTTAATGATTCAGATGTCTGAATGATTCAGCACTTAATGGTTCAGACTGTTTGTTTCAGCCTCTTAATGGTTCAGAAGTCTGAATGGTTAAGAGATTTGCCTCTGAATGGTTAAGTATTATACAGAGTCTGAATGGTTAATATCTCTTATCTGAATTGATCAGACATTTGCCTCTGAATAGTTAAGTAATATACTAGCTCTTAATGGTTCAGACCTCTTACTGGTTCAGCACTTAATGGTTCAGACCTCTTACTGATTCAGCACTTACCCATTCAGAAGTTGCCAAACAGCCCCTAAAAAAAGAAAAGGTCAAGCCTGTGTAAATAAATGAACCTGTTAAACAATTTGGGGAATAGAAATTTGGACCCCGAATCAACGAGAAAGCCGCCATGGTAGCGATGCGGGGTGTGAAATGTTTACGACTAGATAGATGGACATGGAGAGCGATTCGCATTTCCTTCTTCAGCGATTTGCAGAGAATTTCAGGGCGGCTCTTGATTTGGAGCCAGGGATAATTGAAATGTGGTGTTCAGTTAAATCAGATTTTTCACATTATTACTCATTCTTAATAAAATTCTTATTAAAATTGGATTGACATATTCAATTAAATTAGATCTAATTACTCCGTATATTCTTTCAAAAAAAGATCTAATTATAATAAGATTCTGTTTGGTATAAAAAGTTGAAATTAAATTTCAATTGAAATTTTATAGAATTGAATTTACTCTTAGAGCAACTACAGCGCATAGTGTATATGCTTAAATATACTCTTTATTCCATTTATTGTTCATTTTATCTCCCTCCAATGGATTGTGTATATCTAATGGTAAAAAGCACTATAGTGCAAAATACCACTCCCAGTCTCCCACCTCCTATTTCTACACGGTCGCTGTTGCTCATCCTTTTCCTTTATTTTTTTTCATTTTCCTCTCTTCCCCTTAATTTGCTTCAATTTCATCCTTTTCTTCATTGATTTCTTCATTTATTGTGAGGTAATTCTATTTCTTTTACATATTGTAACTATATTCATGAGTGACATTCTCCATTTTAATAATTAAACTATGAATTAAAATAAGTATTATGAAGAAATAACTTAGAATAATAAAAAAATTATAAAAGTGTATTATATACGGAGTAAAAGATATGGTTGGAGTAGTTATAAAAAATTGGGTGTGTATTACACTGTTGATAGTGTAAAATTGATTTTACACTACCACTTTATACCCTATGCACTAGAGATGCTCTTACTAACAAATTATGTGATTACATATACATTTGAGATCCAACAAATTTATTTTACCTACATTCTACACTCTAAGACCTTAAATAGCCGGTGCTCTCCAAGACTGACATTTCTTCTCAAACATTTACCTTAAAATGTTCATGGTCTGGAATATAAATTGTATTGAACTACAGAACTAAGGGAGTATTTAATCAAACAAGTTGACTAATGATTTCAAGCTCATACACATAGCATATATCTCTACACATACATTTGAGATCCACCCTTCCATAGTTATTTAAGGCGCGATGCGCACTGATGCACAAAGTACCTCTAGCGCCTCGATGAGCGAGGCGCACTTGATGCACGCGCATCACGAACACAATGCGCATATTAAGGCACCAGTAGAATCTTGAATATATAGTATATCTACATCAAGAATAATATATATAAAATTTTTAAAAGCATAATAAAGGTTTAGAAATCAATTAAGATTGAAAGTCACACATTGAACCATTGAGCATTGACAAAATTAAAAACCATAAAGTTCAAAGAGCAACAGAAGTCATAGACAAAAAGCATTCAAAGAGCAACAAAATGATAGACAAAATCATTCCTATTTGTTTTTGAGACCCTCCGAGCATACTTCCATCCGGGATCATTAGAATTTGGGCCATCTTACCCTTCTAAATTTGGAGATTCTTAAGTATTTGACAAATTAACTTGCCCAGTAGAAAGAAGAAAACCAGGTAGAGAAAAAAATAAAGTAAGAAGAGACGGGAAGGAGAGCAGATATCACCTGCTTGACTGCTTCTGACTTCTGCCACTTGCGAGACGGGAGGAAGAGACGGGAAGGTGTGCCGCGGTTTGGAGGACTTGCGAGACTAGAGGAAGAGACGGGAAGAGTCGCACTCAAAGAAAAAAAGAAGGCGCCGTTCCTTGGGGGTCGTAAAAGTTGGGAGGGTTTAGTCGTGTAATCTCGTTGGGGGTCGTAAAAATTGGGAGGGTTCAGTCGTAATAAATAAAGCTAATCCCTAAACCTAATTTTTAAAAAAAACAGTAAAGTGTAAACAATATGTTCACAAGGCGCGCTTTTTTGCGCATCAAGGTACTGCGCATAATGCACAGAGGCGCAGTGAGGCGCGCGCCTCATGAACTGCGCGTGCATCAGGACTGACGATGCACTCCCCCTGGCGCTTCGTGCGCATCGCGCCTCAGGCGCGCCTCAAGCGTGCTTTTCACAACTATGCACCCTTCTTATTTAACCTACATTGTACTCTAAAAGTACTCTCTAAGTTATGACTTAACTGCCCTATCTAAGCCTGCCTTATCTTCTCTAGCCATTACCTAAAAGTATGACTGGTCTGGGTTATACACCTCTCACACATGCATTTTTACATCAAACATTCTAAAACTACTTTGATTTTTGTTTATTGTGCATAGTGGGTTTCCTTCAATTTAGCCCCAAGAGCTTCAGTTTTATCTTAAAAATCAGCCCTAAAGATCTTAAAATCAGCCCCTAATTCAGGTTTTCTCTCAAAGGTAGTTTTGAAAGTTTCATTTTGGGTTGAAATTAATATTGCAATTCTGGTTCAAATACATGAATAATTATCCTATATTCAATAAACAATTCATCAAACACATTATATGCATTTAATTTTAAATTCAGGAAACCATAAACATCAAATTTAAATAAACTTTGGCTCACCCCTTAGATCTGCATCTACCAACTTATAAAATTCCTCCCTTGCTGATGGCACCCAAATCCTCATCATCAATCTACAAAATATTCTCCACTTTAGAGGAATTTATCGTTCATAGTAAGACTCCATGATACCCATTTCTAATCAGATTCAAAAAGGAAAGAAATCAGAGATAGGAGAAGAGCACAACACCATTTTTAATGAAAATTGTCAAAAAAAAAAAGTGCTAGACGGGCTTCTTCCCATTAGAAAAATACCAGGATATAGTCGATCTCTAAGTTGTCTGTGCGCGTGCTTCACTCTTCATCGGCTCAAGGTAGGAGGAGGAGGACTGAAGAGGTGTGGTCATAAACTGCTCGATGTGATGTAGGTTTTAAATAGGGTGAAGAACTGATGTGACGTAGGTTTTAAATATGTATGTTTTATTTTTTATTTCTATACCAATATTTAAATAAAATAGATTGAAAAAACTTGGGATTTTTCTTCGTTTTGCGAACCGGGAAAAAAGATATAGGACGGAGGGAGTAAAATAAAATATTCTTGACACCTCTTATTTCGAACAACTTTTCATGTAATTTTTTGATATGTAAATTTTATTTTTTATTTCTATACCAATATGTAAATAAAATGAATTGAAAAAGTTTGATATTTTACCTTGTGAATACAAGTGTGGCAAATATTTAGAGACGGAGGGAGTATAAAACTGCCATTTATAGAGACACCGCCCCCATCGATTTCGGACAACATTATTGATGGTTAGATTTGTCAATTGCAAATGAAATTGGACCTTGCGATTAAAGTGAAATTGGATCTCAATTTTGATTTTATTTTTATATATATAATGGATAAGGCCAAATGGCACAAATATCCCTGTAATTTAGAAAATAGACATCAATGCCCTTATGTTTTTAAAACTTATTTCTAAAGTTCCTGTAATTTCAAAAACGTTCACTCATACCTCCTTTGATAATTTTCCACTCTTTTTTCCTGTGAAAGGGGGTAATAGTGTCTATTTTTCAAACCATATGGGGCACTCATGCTCATTTCTTTTTTTTCGTTTATTTTTTTGTTTTCCCTTTTTTTTCCTTTATTGTTTCTTTTATTAACCAAAATTTTCTAATTTTCCAAATTGTTTTTATAAAGTTCTTAAAATATAAAATTGTTTTTGTTTGAGAATAATAATTAACATATACTGCATCTTTACGTCTCAAATTAAATTTTTTTATTATTTTTTAAATAAAAAAGTAAAATAATAAATGAGAAATAAAATAATAAATAAAATAAAATAAAAAATAAAAATGAATATCCGTTTTGTACATCCCAAATCCCAATTCCAAAAACTTTTTAGGCTTTCTGAAAAATTCTTTTTGTATATGACTTTTTGCATGTTCCAATTTTTTTCATTTCATTTTTCTATATTTTTATTTTTTATTCTGAATTTCCTTTTTAAAGTTACCAAAAAAATTATTCTAGAAAACAAAAGGTGAAAATGTTTAGTTTGAGATAGATCAAGTATATGTTATTTTTTTATTTCAAAAATAAAGACCTTTGAATTTTTAAAAATATTACACGAAACTGAAAAGAAATTTAAAAAAAATCTAGGAAAAGGATACAAATAGAAAAAAAGAGCTAAAGCTGAGAAAAACCAAATAATAAATATAACACCCTAAACCCGTCTAGGTGTGTAGCGCCTTTCAGAGTAAAATATTAACTTGGTTATGGTAAAAATTTAAAACATTTCAAATAGTTTGAAACTTGATTCCATCATAAAATATTTATAACAGTAACGGAGTTTATGAAATTACGAAAGCTTAATAAATAGTTTATATTACACTCAATAATTCATTTTTGAAATAATTATTGAACTGTTCAAAACCATCACACATCCATCTGACATCTCATGTCCCTATCTACAGCCAGGATCAATCACACCATTCTTTATTTTGTTTACCTCCGTGTAACAAATAAAACATACTACACGTGCAACGACGAAGCTGAGTAAAGATGTCTAATGCATCGAATATCTATATAAACAAATTGTTTAATATCATAATCAAATTATTTAATATCATGTACATAATATTCAATTTCAATATTCATGTTATCAACAGTGCTCGTAAACTATTCTTAGTCTATGACCAAATCATGACAATGCTTTTAAATTATTCTCAGTCTAAGACTAATTTATTTTGATTATCAGGATCTTAAATCATATTCATTCTAGTTTAAGTCAAAACACAAGAATTGATGACTCATCCTATGAGTCTTATAGATCATGTTTAAAACCGAATAATAGTCTACTCACCGTTGGGCACCCAATGGTGGATCTGTGGTGATTGACGGTGGAGCGCGCTGTTGCAGCATCGCTAGTTGAAGCTCCTATTCAGTTAAGTCACAAAAAAATTATTTCCATTTTAATATTCTCAATATTATCTTTTACTCTTATTTAAGGAGTTTTCCAAAATGTATGTGGGATTGCCAAACGGCTCGACATGGTTGTGTGCCCCCGCCTCGGCGTTCTATTTGCAATACTATTTAATTACACAAGTTGTAATTAAGGAAGAAATTAAAGGTATATGCATGTGAACGTGTGGAGCTAGTCGACCGTTGATTAGTTCAAAGTCAAACTAGTAAAGCCATGCAATGCATAAATATGGTCCAGTCCATTCAAAGGCGGCAGCCAACCCCATGTATGCAATGCCTATCACGTAGCTAGCCACGCACGCAATTGTCCTTTCATTTGACCAATCTTCTTCCATTATTGCCATGCACGTACCTTTAATATAATTATGACTACTATACGTACCTACCTCTTAATTGCTCATCCGCCCAAAATTTACACTTTGATTTTACATACCTTAAATAATAAAAAAATTGAAAAATATATAATTAAAATTTGTTTAGATGACCGGATGAACAAATCTTCTCATGCAGATTGTTAGAGTATATAAAAGTATTTTTGGGTCACAACTGTAAGACTGAACTTTTGATTGAGTTGGTTCTTTAGCAGGATATCAGAATCTTGTTAAGCAAGAGGTCATCATCGCGTTTGAAACTCATCATCACTCAGTTTTACATTTACGTGAAACTCAAAGAAGTCACGCCTGCACATACGAGGACGTTTTAGAGTATATAAAAAAAATTTCTAGACAACAATTTAAAACTTAAACTTTTGGTTGAGTTGATTCATTGACACATTAGATGTCTGCTTCATAGAATGGAAAAGTTGAAAATGGATAAAGTTTTCTTGTTTTGGGTTAAAAGACCGTATGTATAGTAAGTATTATCTAATAATCCAACATTAGTTTCCCACTACCTTCGTATCCCCGAATCGTAGGAGACGTGTACGGTGTATATATATATATATTGGAGTGTTTCATACTCGATCCCATGCTAATTATTACCCCCATCCACCTCTCCTCAATTAATTTGATCTGGTATTTCCCATTTCATTTTAATTTGTAAACAAGAAATCTTGAAATTATTCTTTATTGATTGATTAGTAGTAAATAAATAAACAATGGGAAACTGTCTGATAACAAGGGGATCATCGTCGTCGTCAATGGTGTGGGCAGAGGACGAAGACGAGTGGGAATGGGTGTCAAAAGAAATGGTAATTAATACTACAAATAAAAACAGCGGCGGCGGCCGGCCACTGTCGTCATCTTCTTCATCTTCTGACGGGAAGCTGAAGATCACGGTATCAAAGAAGCAGCTGTTGCAGCTGCTGAGAAAAGGGGATATTAATGGTAGTAATAAGGATTCCAATAATCACAACGCGGCGGCGGCGGAGGAGGAGGAGCTGCAGCTGTTGGCAAGACTGCTGCAGGGGGACGCCGCCGCGGGTGGTGGTGGTGGTGATCCAGTGGTGACGTGGTGCCAGCAACGATCATGGAGGCCCTGTTTGCAAAGCATTCCGGAGCTCAATTAATGGTGATTATTATAGTTATAATTAAATACTGGTTAGATCGTTGATTGAATTAGAACTAATTGCTGGTAATTGTATGTATTTTTATCCTTACCGGCAGATTATTTTTGTGTGTGTTCTGGTGAATTTTTCATACATTATTCATGTTTAATTAGGCGTTTATTTGTACTATTCCTTTGGCTGCACAAATTCTTCACTTAATAAACTTATTTCTTTTTCTTTTTTTTTTTGTTACAACATATGCTCCGTAATAGTTTATGAATCATCTTCATCCCTCTTTATAAAAGTGAAATTTGTTGTTTATCCTCCACTTTTTTGCTGAGAATTATCACTTCAGAGGCAAAAGCGTTAAATACTTTTAGTGTAGGTATATATATATATATATATATATATATATATATATATATATATATATATATATATATATATATATATATATATATATATATATATATATATATATATATATATATATTATATGGATTGACTCCAGTGAGATGACATCTAATGGTAAGATGACATGCTTCAATCAGATGACACAACACACAACACTGTCAATGGAAAGCTCACCAACTGTCAATGCAAAGCTCACCAACTGTCAATGCAAAGCTCACCACTTATTTTTAAATGAAAAAAAAGTTAAAAAAATATCACTACCATTCAACCATCACTCAACCACTGGTCCACGGCGACAGTGGGGGTCATCGGTAGTGGGCCATTGGTCATGGGCGGTCAAAGTGTAAAGTTCATCAACTGTCAATGCAAAGCTCACCAACTGACAATGGAAAGCTCATCAAGGAACAATGCAAAGCTCACCACTTTTTTTTAAAAAAAAGCTAATAAAATTGCACCACCAGTCAACTACCGGTCCACGGCGGTAGTCTGCAGCGATTGGAAGTCAGCACCACCGCCCTTTGTTTTTTTTTGAAATCATTTTAAACTTTAAAGTGTGGCGAGATTTGCCATGAGAGTCAGTGAGCTTTGTTGTTGGGCTTTGTAAGCATTTAACCATCAAATTTTGAAAAAAAAAAGTAAAGTGTTGGAAAATCATGGTGAGCTTTGCAGTGGATAGTGGTGAGTTTTGCAGTGATCAGTGGTGAGCTTTGCAGTGATCAGTGGTGAGCTCCAACGTCATCTAACTTAAACATGTCATCTTACCACAAGGTGTCATCTCACCGGAGTCAATCTTATGAAAAAAATAAAATTTTATGAAAGAAATAAGAATGAATCTCACACGTCCGATTCAGCACTCCTAATTGTATATCATCATTAAGTGCCGAGGGCAATATTGTATTTTGCTATTATTTCATTTCTCTCTCCAATCAATGAACTCTCAAACCCAAAATTGCAGCACTTCACATTTTCGTTAGCGAATTAGATCTGGTCACCAATATTCAGCCTCTTCTGCAGATTCAAATGGATTTTTCAATTTTAGTACTTTTTTTAGAGTCCACATCAAGAGTTAATACATATGCTTGGAGCAATTAGAGTCCATCTCCAATTCTATGCGTCAAGGTTTGCTTTTCAATTTTAGTTTGTTATTTATTATAATATTTTTTTAATAAATAAATGTTAATCCCTAATTCACTTTCTGGTGCAATCCCTAATTCACTTTCTGGTGCAATGTTGTTTTTGGTAAATTTAAAATTTTTACTTTTTTTACGATATATAAATTGATTTTCAACTTCTATTTTCAATTTACCATAACTTTTTTTGTTAATAAATATATGTCAGTTGTTGATTCTGGTGATTGTATATATATTTTCGATTTTTCGTAGAGAGCCAATTTGCTTTTCATTTCAGATTTCAATTTTTAGTAAATATATGTAAATGGCTAAAACATGCATCACAGAGATTTCACTTCTTAGAATGCAGAATCCGGGCTAAAACATGCATCACAGAGATTTCAAAATGCACGTTAAAATGTTGCATTATTATCAAAGTTTAATGAATCTGTAGCATTTTCTCTTATTGCAAGGTATATGGAAAAAGGATCAATTTCCCATTGTTTTAGCAGGTGGTCTCTAGAGCTTAAATAACACCTCTTTTTGAGTCCCACTTTGTGTTGGTCGAGTTTGGTGTAATGTCAGATTTTAACATTTTATTCTATTACACATAGCATTTTGTATCCCAGGTATTGCACACCTCTCCTATAGCTAATGCATTTAGGTGATATGTCTGTAAATTATTATTTTCTTTCATCTTCAATTCTTCTTTATATTTATTCTATAATTTTTAATCCCCGTGGCATATTGTTTTAGTGCATTATATAAGATATTCAATGTTTTATAAAGATTTTGCATTACAAATATAAATATATGGTTTAAAAATCATTGCCAATTAGCTCAAATGGTAGAGCGGTATGCATTTGTATACAGATGTAGGTTCGAATCCCTCATTGGCACTATTGAAATTAAAGAAATATATTTTATTAGTCAGAGACTAACTTCAAACAAATATGTATCTATGTGGTTAAATGAACAATTTTTTTTTTTTTTTGAAAATTTACTTTTTTTAGATGTTATCTCTACATTTTTGAAGATTTACTTTTCATTATAGTGCATTAGTTTTGAGCGGTATGTAACATGTTGAAGATTATGTGCAATACTTAGTATAAATGATGCCAATATTTTAACAATTTTTTCTTTACATTTTTGGCGTAGGATATCACACAAATCTATCACTAAACTGCATGTAAAGTTTTTTTTAGTCTTTTTATCTCTTGTTATGGTATACAAAGTATTTCTTAGTATAATCATTCAAAATCTACTTTGGAATGATTATATTCACATAGTGCACTGCAACAGTTTATTATTTGCACATTTCAGCATACACATGTCCATTGTACGATGCATTTTACAGCAACTATAGATGCATCAATGACTTGTCTAGAAGCATCAACGTCACCAGTGAAAGCAACATTAGTTTCCAGTTGGCAATAGCAAAAAAAGTGGATTCTCTTTTGACCGCGTTTGATTAGAAAATTTAAAATTACCAGCATGCCCTTCATAATCAATTCATCCCTGATTTCATGGGATGCAATCAATAATTTCCTTTTTAAATTTTAGAGAGTAATGGCTTGGTCTATAATTAATAGCCACACGATCCATCTAATCCAATGTATATTATTCATTCTTATTTCTTTCACCAAGAGTCTTTCCCACAGGAACCGGTCCCTATATATATATTAGAGTCTTTCGTTGTCTATTTTTACTAATCATTTGATATAGTTATATAGTGTTGTCACATTTTATTTTAAAATAAGAAAATTTTATAAGAGTGTGCCCGCAAGCGATGGAGCTTTAATACAAAGATCAAGTTGTTGGGTCGGCCCAACGCACTTGCCCAGTCCATCTAGTTACTATCCATGATGGGTCTGGCTACAAGTCGGATGACCCCGAGGTCCTGCCCGACTAGTTAGCTCAAACGAGACCGAGCAAATACAGACCTTGTGCTGGACATGCCAAGTCGCTCCGAAAAATAACAAAGCATCATTCATTAATACATAAGTACACAATACACTGCAAATCAAACCCTGAAATAAAAACTGACAATGTAACCATATTTTGAATTGAAAGTAACAAACCACCATGTGAAGCAAGCTGGTCTGATTTCATCTTAGATAACACACACACCACACTGGAATGACTGGGGGCAGGCCAGTAAGGGCAAATACTCCATGATTAGCCCTCATATTATTCACTTGTAGTACAGGCTATTTAACAAGGTAACTAACAAAGAAGCCCATCCACCATCATCATCTAGTGGAGCTTGTTGGCAAGATTGCATTGCTTTCGGATCTCTCCTTTGGTGCCCGTGAGGGGGTTGTTCTCGGAGAGAATGGTGATGGCTCTGGAGAACTCCTTGAAGAAGTAATCCTGGTTCTTGGCCATCTTCTTGACATAGGGCTTGGTCCTCTTGTCCTTGGCCAGTTGGTGGTCCACAAGCATGAGCCCTTTGTTTTCAAGAATGTTCCTGTAGTAGTTGTTGTCCAGCTTCATAGGGGTGCCCCTGTCATTCCTCACATACTGCACTGCCTTTGGGTCTGGGATTGGGTCTGGGCATTTCTTGAGCATGTGTGGGACATGATCCGGGTTCAGCTCCGGGTCCACCTCTGGGTATAATCTCTGCACCAGCTTCACACAGTGGGTTCTTCCCACACTGTGAGCTCCTGCGTTTGTTCATTTCATCAAACTCATCAAACCCATAAATATCACCTAACCCAAGAATTCTTTCCTTTGATGACAAACTAAAGATCAAGTGAAACATTAGTGTTATGTTATGAGCCAACCTAGTAAAGCGACAACTCCGGGAGTGTTGATTCCGACTTTGGAGAACCTGTCAAGAACAACACTCATGCTTTCGTTGTGGTCTGGGAGATGTTGCTCCAGAATATCTGCTCTGCTCTTCCTCCCATCCCTTCTCCCTGTTTTCAGTGAGATGTATGGTCCTCCAAGCTACAAACCAAATCATATCATCAAGAAATATTGGAGTGGATTGAGCTTTTGGGGAAAAAAATTCATTTATAAAAGGCAAGAATCTAAGACCATGTTTCTCAAAACATGAAATTAAAACTGTTTAAGCACACAGTAAAGGGAAAGTAAAGGAGGAGAATAACACACAGCAACAATGCCATCTCTGGCGGACAGGACAAGAATGTCGGCACAGGAAACAACTCCGGGGCACTCCCTCTCCACAGCTTCTTTGATAGTCTCGATGTACCTGAAATTCCTCATCCCGAAGCTCCGGTCGGTCTCCTTCTCGGACAGAGACCGCCGGGTGGAGTCCAGAAGCAGAGAAGCATCACAAGACTGCAATTCAGTCACATGAAACCCTAATCAAATCAGATCCGATCCCTAATCGATTTGTGTCCGGAAAGAAAGAAAGAAAGAAAGAAAGAATTGCCTGGACAAAGCAGTCGTGGAAGATGTTCCTGAGCCAAGAAAAGGCGGTGTTCTTGTGGCGCTTGTAGAGAAGCTTGACCTGCTCTCTGATGATGTCTTCGGCTTGGGGGCATGTGTCTCTGTAGTAGTTCAAGGCGAGCCCTGCTGCTGCCGGACGAGGACCATCGTCTCTGTTGATGGGCTGTTGATCTTCTGCAAACGCAGAGAGACGTGATGGGGCTGCCAGGAGGAGGAAGACGAAGAAGAAGGAGAGAGATGTTGTTGTTGAACCCATTTTGGTCGGCGTAAATTTAGTGTAACCGCCTAGCTGCTGTT